ATGAGTCACCTGGGTTGACACTGCAGAAAATCTCCTCTCCCAAAGGAAGGGCAAGAGACACATAATAGTGACAGGCTTTTATTTGACTTACAAGGCAAATTAGGAAAGAACTCGCATCCAGTCACCTCTGTATACAAGAAATTATACACCACACACATGCGCTACCTACCGATGCAGGCCATATTTTACACGAATTTATGCATTAAGAAATTGCATGAAAATGATCTTGTTTAAACATTCATGAAGAACAAACATCCCCCACAAGCACGGGAGATAGAAATTTAGCTCGGTCTCTCATGAGAGCCTGGCTCACCTCTCTCTAGGCATTTATTTAAAAAATAGATCTGTGTCACAACCCTCCCAAACTAATGGGATCTAGAAGTGCATCTGCTTTAAGGATGTGCTGATGATTCTTAGCGGGAAGGGAGTTAGGACAACTGCAGGTTTGAAAGTAAAATGTGACCCATTTGGGCAAGTTCAATCCCCATCTAAGGCAAAGCGGGCCTTTTCCTCAACGGCTCCAGTGGCTCCCAAGCAAAGAAACCAAGATCAGAAATTGTTATTTGGTCTCATCTACGGTGGGGGCTCTTTTCTCACACAATTCTCATTTGTCCATGTTTTCTTTGCCTGGATTGCTCTGACACAATAATAGTCATGCAAGATTGTCCATGTTGACTAATTACTGATGGTTTGACAGGCCCCGGGGAAAGCTGCATCTCCTTGGTGTAAGTCAGGATCCAGGCCACTGGCTGCAGTGCTCCTCCTGGTCCCAGAGCGTACAATGTGCCGTGTAATTCTGAGCCCTGGCAGTGCCTTGCTCTCAGCTGCACCCTTAAATTGGTCACGGCTCAGAGAATGGCATTGGCAGTATGACCAGCAGGGTCACCTCTTCCTGAGGCAGCAGAGGGTGGGGGAGGAGTGCAGTGAGCAAGGTTGGATGCATTGGGGGAAAACACAGCCACTGCTAGATAAGGTCCCCCAAACAGTAGCTAATATGGCCAAAGAGGAGGAGAGAGATCTCTGCCCTCTAAGCAATTCAGATAGAGGCCAAGCACAAGAGAGTCGGAAAGTTATTGGAAAACAATTATGTTTGTCTGCTTCCTGTCAGTCTGTATCCATTGACAGAACAAAAGCCATCACAGATACTCTAGACCCACTGTGGCATTAAATAAAGTGTTTGAAATTGTACTGCTTAACATTGCTTTCAGGAGCAGAGAGTGGATTTAGGCTAGTAGATAGCAATGGAGGGACATGGTGATATCTGCAGAAGTTTCCCACATCGGGCCATTTTCTGTCCCAAGGGAATTCACTCCAGCCACAAAAAGGAATTTTTTTTAAAGTTGTTACTAATTTTGCTTCTGTTGAATATTTAAGCATGCCATTCATATAACTGTCTTAGCAGAGTAAGCCTACGTATTTTATTTGATGATGTTTTTTATAGTTTCCCTCCTAAGATCCAAAAGCGGGGTCAGTACTGTAGATTAGAATCAATTCAGCAGAGGGAAAATAAACCTTTGGAATATATTTTACCTTCCCTGAGCACGTCGCAGGCATTAGCAATAATGGGAGCCCTGTCTGCGCATGGAGAGGAAGCATCTGCCACTTAGACTCCCAGCCATCCCTGCCCTGGCTCTGCAGCCCCCTGACCTTCACAGTGGGGACAATGATTCTGGATTCGTCATCTCCTAACTTCATGCTGCTGTGCACAGGACACACACACACACACACACACACACACACACACACACACACACACACAATGCTCTTTCCTGGTGGAAGAAAGAGACAGGGGGGTGAGAAGGGAGGGGAGGTCTCCTACTGTGAGCTGCTGAAACACGGCCAGCACTCATGACAGCAACCAAGCTTTCAGGGCACAGAGGGGAACTGACTCTGCCCTTGGTGGCATTGTGCCATCTTTGCTAGGCTACAATTGCCCCGTTTGCTGGTCTTTTCTGAAATCAGGGGGGTACTATGGAGGCAAAGTGGAGGGTCGAGCCCTTCTTTTAGGCTAATTTTTAGTGTGACCATAAATACAACTTTTCAAACAAACACAGATGCATCAGGAAAAAAAAAAGCCAGCACATGAAGGGTGCTGGATTTGCTATTCGAAGAGCTCACATGCTGTTTCCATGCATTCCTTCATTGAAAGACAAGGATGAATGAGGTAAGGCGCAGAATCCTCTAAGCACACCCTTCCCCTCCTCTCACCAGTGTGAGTCACGGAGGGGATGACACTGTCACTGTCTGACCTGTTCTACCTTGGCTGCTGTTCCCTCCTCGGCAGAAATTCCAGACAACACTGCTTTTACTTAGTAGATGTTGAAAAGCCATTTGTATTCGGCACCAGTTCTTTCTTCTCAGAGGCCTCACTGGGCTAAGCAGCTGGTGCTGTGGCCTCAGACAAGTCACCTCCACAAGCCTCATTCCTCACTTCTAGAGATCCCACCAGGAGGGCTCCTCGACATCTTTCCTGTCCTGAGTCTTCCAGAGTTCCAGGAATGTGGTGTTCGGTGGGAGGTGCCTGAGGCCATCAAAGCCATGCCTGAAATCCAGAGTCATTTTTTAAAAGAAGGCAACTTTGCAGTGTCATTGGCTGTGCAGTTCGTCATTTAGCTGCTCAAAGACAGAAATGGCCAAGAGTTGTTGACGGACATAAGCCCCTCCCAAGTTTGTGGGAGCTGGCCGGAGTGCTGAAGCTGGCCACCATTCACAGCTGAGCCACTCAAAGCCAGCGGGACGCCTGCTGGTCAGCAATAGCCCCCCCAGGACAGAGGCAGGCAGGAGAGTTCTCAGCAAGTGCCAAACTTAGACTATGGCAGCAGGCATGTAAACAACCCATGGAATTTCAGAGTACATTGCATCGATGGTTCCCAGACCTGTTGGAGCTATATTTAGCATAGGCAAGTTTGGGAATGGCTCAGAGGGCGTGCAGTGCCATTCAAATGAATATTAAGAAATACTACAGGGTCTTGGAACAAGGAAAAACGTTCTGCAGTTTGGTATCTAGTATGCATTTGTGGAAAAAAAAACAACCCAAAACTTCCTCACTGTTAACAGCCTTGGGGTGGGGGTGTGATAAGCCTCCTGAAGCCAGGAATCACCAGGTCCAGCTGGGGAAAGAACTCCACTTACAGTTTAAATTAAATTGTCTGAGCTTCCTTAACTACTAACCCTTTTCTCCCCCACAACCTCTTCCCTCAACAACGTATTTCAGGAAGATTTTATCAATCTTTTTCTTTGTGGCTGTGTAATAATGATTCTCAAAAATCATCCAATTTATCCCAAGCTGAAATACCTGCACCAGAGCTGCTCATCTCCCTGAGAGGAAGCAAGTCAGGGTCACACTAGAAGCCCGCCCTGGTTCCGGGGGAGCAGAAAGCCCTCCCCTACCCCGCTGTCTGGGTCCAGGACGTGGTCTGTCTGCAAGGCTCCTTTCTTTAGCCTGAGGTTCCACTTCCCTATTAACATAGACACAACACTCCACTGAAGCTGAAGTATAAGAAATTTTCTGCTTGATGTGTTTTATGTCCCATTATTTCCCCTGCATGTCACATGCCTCTCTGAGGGGCACAGAAGAATGTGTCTGGTGTAAGCTTTGGGGAGGGTCCCCCACCATTGAAACAGGAGGAAGAAGAGATCAGTTCACAAGGGAATGCATCCAAAGCATCTCCCTCTGCCCTTGCAGGGACCCAGACTCCCAGGAGTTCTCTCCTGCTCTGGCAGCTTCCTTTGCTTCCATATATCCATTGCCCACATCCCTAGGATGGCTATCCCCCTTTTAGTCTGGGGTCTGCTTTCTCAGCACAGCCCGATGGGATGAGGCTGGAGGCAGGTGAACATTAATTAGCTCAAAGTGTGGGGGAGTCAAATCAACTACTACCCCACTCCCCCAGACATCATCACAGCCACCAGGTTGTAGTTCTCATTTCCACTGGGTGGGAGAAATCAGGACTGGCACATGGAGTCTATTCACAGCCATTAAAGAAAAATACATAAAGTATATTCAAGCTCTCAAGTGGGGGAATTTGAAAGGCAGAGAGGGAGCCTGCCTTTCCAGGGTAACGATGGGGACCTTAGTTTCCCTAGAAGAGTCTCTTCTTGGTCACATCCCTAAAGTTAGAGGGTGTGCCCAAACTCCCAGTCAAGATACAGAATCTGGTCACAGATAAAAAGCGTTTCTGTGGAGAGGTGGGGTGGTGGGGAGGTGAGGGAATACATCTCTCAGCCCTCTGGATTCCCAGCAATGGCAGGTCATTACACTCACAGTGGGACATTCCTTAAGTGTCCCTAGTTGAACCCCAGAGGTTCCTTGAACATCTTTAGAACAGAATGGGGACCTCATACCCCAGGGCAAGGCTCTTTGGGGGTAAGCCGCCCTGGTTCCCAGGGTTCAGCAGAAGCAGGCATCAAGCAGTTCAAATACCCAGGGGAGAAGGGGGCCCAGCTACAAGAGTCTTCGGGCATCTTCTCAGTGCTTATTCTCAACACCCCTCAGTCACTTCAGAAACAGCTGCTGCCAGTGACCCAAACAAAGCCAGGGAGAAACTAGGTGGTGAGATGAGGGGACAGACAAGGGAAACAAGCGACCCAGATGCACAAAGAGCTTCCCTTAATGAGGAGGCGGATAAGGGAGGCGACCCCAGGTGGACGAAGCAGACTTGGCTCACATGAGTTCTGTGTCCAGCTGAGGTTACACTGGCATCTTTCAGAACCAGCTCCCCTTGCAAGCCCCCATCCCACTAATAAGCCATTGACCTTGAGTTTGAGTCTGGGGTTGATTTGCTGCTCTGTCTGGGGGAACCCCAAGGGCCTTGTGGCTTTAACAGGAAGAAATCCTCCTCGACTGGCCAGCAATTGTTTTTCCTCTCCTCCTGCCACACTGATCAAATTAGCGGGCTGCTTCTCCTCAGAGAAAATGTGTCCATGGTCCCAGGAGGCAATGCCCATTTGCCCGTCTGATGGGTCTGGGGAGGGAAAGCAGGGAGGTATGTGTGCATGTGTCCCTTCCCCTGTCCCTGGGAGGGTCTCTCCCACCTGTAATGATCCAGCGGGCAGCGTGGACCCCAGGAGGGGCGGTGCGGGGTCTCAGCTGCAGGAGGCCTGGCAGGTGGCTGCATACACACTGCTGCCCACCGTGGCCCCGCTGCTCAGGCTGCTGGTGGGACACTTGAGGGGCTTCATGCTGCTGTCCCTCTGGATGTGCAAATGCTCGAGCCGCCAGCGCTCCCAGCTCTTCCGAAACTCCATCTGGACCTTCCTCGGGAAAAGGAGGGGAACAAAAGCCATCATGCAAACCCACTGTCCACAAAATGGCCCCGTTATTACATTAGCAGGGAAGGGAAAAAATCCACTGCATGATATTAAGAGACACAAGTCAAGGCCTCCGGGCGCCTAAATTAATATCCCAATAAAATTGTTTATTGTTGTCTCCTATTTTCTGCCGCTCTTCAGGAGAGAGATGGGCTTGATGACCTAATTGGTCTTTTCCATCTCTAAACTCCGCGATCCGGCTAAGTACCTTTTACAATCCATCACAATATTAGTTCACGAAAGAGAATGGGAGGGAGAGAGAAGTGCGGGAGACAGGAGATGGGAGAGAGAAGTGGAGAGGAGGGAATCTGACTTCAGGACATGCTCTCCCACTGCAGCGAGGATGCCTGAAGGGGAGATGGAGGAGGATGGTGCCCCCCTGACCCTCAAGCTGTCTACAGCAGACCCTCTAAGCTCCCTGAGGGCTCTGACCCAGCCGCCATGACTCCCAGGAGGAAGGAGCAAAGGAAACAAGGAGGCTGAGACCAGGGGAGGACCAGGGCTTCCCAGCCTGTGCAATCCTGTGCAGGGAGACTGCGGTGAGTCTGGGGGTGCAGCCAGCGCAGCTGAGCTCAGTCAGCCAAAATCGTCATTGTGCTGGGTCGTGGCCTCCCCATAAGAACCATCTTCTTAAGAGGGCTGACGTTTGGGAACCAGATGGATCGTTGGGGGCAGAAACATGGTGGAGCCCCAACCCCTCAAGGGCTTGTGGCAATGCTATGGCCCCAACTGTGGTTCCCAGAGATGGCTTCTGGAACTTGCACAGCTGATCCCGACCGGACTGGACTGCTCTTCTGGGTGGTGTTCCCATAAGTTTGCTTTCCAGAGCTGCTTTGATGCCTCTGCACCCCACCTTCCCACACTGGAGAGCCTAGAACCCAGGCTCCTCTCAGTCCCAAGGCCCCAGGAGGGCCAGCTGCCAGAAGCTGTGGGTAAGGGGCTCTCTGCCAATCCCCTCCCCAGCCCCAGGGCAAACAACCCTCCTCTCCCCCTCCTTTGTCATTCATCTAGCTAAGCCTGCATGACGCCTGGTGTGGCTGCATGCCATCCCTTAAAAGAACTTTTTCTGTGCAGAGTAGAGCTGAGATCGCCCAGAGCCTGCCTGCCAGGATGCGTTGGTATCCCAGGCAGCAACCCAGAACCCAGGCCTGGGTGGGGAGGGAAGGAGGGCTCCCTGCTCTGCTCCCTGCCCCCACCCCCAGCTTGGGTCCCACCCGAGACCAATGGTGGCCTCCCTTTGTGCAGCTACAAGAAGACCAGTCCTACCTCACAGCCCTCCACTGACGAAGTGAGGTAGAAAGATGGGGAAATGAGGCACACCCACAGGAACCCACCTCAGAGACTGAAGAGGTCACAGGGACACCAGCAGGACCTAACAGTACCAGCATGCCACAATCTCCTTATCTCCATCTCCCTCAGCACTTCCTCCCTCTCTCCCCCCCTCTCTCTCTCTCTCTCTCTCTCTCTCTCTCTCTCTCTCTCTCTCTCTCTCTCTCTCTCTCTCTGGAGCAGGGATTGAGCCCAGGGGCACTCAACCAATAAGCCACACCCCCAGTCCTTTTTTTTTTTTTTTGGTATTTTATTTAGAGACAGGGTTACTAGGGCCTTGCTAAGTTGCTGAGGCTGGCTTGGAACTCACAGTCCTCCTGCCTCAGCCTCCCAAGCCACTGGTATTATAGGCATGCACCACCGCGCCCGGTCCTCAGCACTTTTTCTTAACCTTCACGGTGACCCCTGTAATCACAACTGTCTTTAAGAACCACCATCTACATGCCAGGCATTTTTCATAGATTATCTTGGTTAACTTTCTCATCAACCCTACACAGTAGCTCCTGTTCTCATTCCCCACGTAAAGACGAAGAAATGGAGTGCAGAATATTTCAGCGTTCCCCAGTGTCTTGGGCAGGATTTGAGTCTAGATCCAGCCTGGCCCCAGTGCCTGGCTCCTCACCCTTGGCCTCCTGCCTGCCACAGTTCTGGAGGCCCTGCTTGTCCCTGGCCGTGGCTCTTCCCCACTTCACATGACTCCCAGCATCTATGCACTGAGCACAGTCCCCAGGAGACTGCAGGTGCTCACTCCTGTGTTTTAAATGAGCCCGAGGAACTCATGTGAATAAATGGGCCTCTATCACCAGGTTCCTTCTGCTACTCAGTTATGAAAAAGAAAGAATAGGGACAGCAGTCCTGGACACCTGCCCCAGCACTTCCTCCTGCACGGTTTGATTTCCCTCCTCCCTGCCCTCTGGGCTCTGAAGTGCAGGGCACATATTCCGAGCACCCTCTCCAGCCAAGCACCATGCCTGGCTCAGGATTTGGGGTGAATCAGAAAAGCTCATCCACTTCCATTTACACTTGGGGATTTGAGGCAAGGGAGGCAAGGTGACTTGCCCTGGGTCACACAGTTTGGTAGGACAGAGCCAGGATCAGGACACATGACTCCCGTGTTACCTCACTTGGACTCTCAGGCATGACCTCCAGATAAATCATCACCAGGCCCTTCCCTGTCCCCACTCCTGCCCACAAGTAGTTGGTAAAGGCCTTCAGAGTCACACGGGGCCAATGCTCAAGTCATCTTTTTTCCTCGAGTCATGAGTACCTGGCATTGCCATGGCAACCCTGGGTCTGGAGAATAGCTCTTGTGGGCAGAGGCTTCAACCACGTGTGTCTTTTGTGGCCCAGTGATGGGGATGTGTCTGTCCTTGTATCTAAAAGAACCAGGGCACGAGGAGTCTCTGGGTGGGTTTAAAGGAACTGGGTGATGACCTGAAGGGAGAGGGGCTCTCGGGCCCACTGAGTGACACAGCCTGAGGGGAGAGGCCAGCAGGGCCTGGCCTGCCAAAGAGGTGCAACCCTGGGGATTCAGGGTCAAGTTCTTTCCAAGGGCAGAGCACGGATGTGTGACCATCCTGCCCTCCTTACACAGTGGGGCCAGCGGTGGATGATGGGTGAGGAGGGAGGGAACTGGGTGACCGGGCTCTAAGGGGTAGATCAGGGAGATGGGGCTGAGTTGGGGGGCCCAGGAGAGACCGCAGCAGTGGTGGGGTAGCTGAGCACTTGTGCATGGGGACAGGGCTACAGTGAGCATGCTGCTACAGGGTGGCTTTGGGGACAGAAGATGGAGAAGTGGGACTTGGGACTGAGAAGGTGACAAGGTGGCAGTAGGGAACCTCGGTCTCTCCTCACAGGCTTTGCTCCTCATCCCCACACAGGGATACATGCTGCCCTGTCCTTGTCCCCATCTCACTACCAGGCTGAAATGTGAAGGCCCAGAGTGCAGGCCAGGACCCACCACCCTGGCTGAGAACCATCCCTGAAGGGACGGCACCCTGGGGAGCTGGGGTCCTCGAATGCCAGTATTTGCATCAGCTTCTAAGCAGTTCCTCACGAGGACTCTGCTGTGGGCGAGAAGCAGGGCTGCTGTGTCCTGTGGATCTAGAGCCTGCAAGATGGATCCCTGAGTGTCCTCATTACCCTCCCTCCTGGACCACCCTCCAAATTGAACCTGGGGGCCCTCCGTGGCCTGCCCACAGAAGCAGCCAGAATTCCATTTATGACCCACCTCTCACCTGGTGCTGCCTCCACATCCCCAGCTCCACCTGCCCTGAGTGTTAGTGGGATCCCTAACCCCAGCCCACCGGCCCTTCCACCTTCTAGCTGTTGAACTGGGGCTACTCATTTCCCCTTGCTGAGTCTTAATTTTCTCATCTGAAAAATGGGGCTCACACCTGCTGTGCAGGGTTGGCTGCACCTGAGCACCTTATCTGCAGTAAGCCCATAGAAAACACTGGCTTCCCCGCACTTGGAGATGGGAAGGCCACTCCAGCCCCTTAGGAGGCCAGTTCAGGGGAAGCTGGAGGAGGCCACAGGGACAGGAGATGCCCCCTCCCTTCACCCAGTCTCATTTTCTCTGCAGGGTCCTCTGAAATGTCCTAGGCCCTGGTCTCTGGGAATCACTGAGCACTGGAATGACAGGGACTAGCTCCCCGTTGCTGAGCATCAGGAGATGAGGTACACACTGCTTCACGACAATGACTCTGAGGAGCCAGGGTGGGCCTTCAGTGCCTGGCCTTGATGGAAGGCCCTATTCTTGGCTCACCCTTCCTGTCTTTTCCAGACTTTATTTACCTAATCCTCAGGAATCTCAGAGGTGGGCATCCTAGCCTTCCTCATCATTTTGTAGATGAGGAAGTTCAGACAAAGTCACGCAGCTCATTAAGTGACGGGGCCTGGGTTGGAGCAGAGGTCTGACATGAAGCCCACATCCGTGCCTCTTTCCTGCTATCTCACATGGCTTCTTTGGGTCAATTCACAGTTCCCTGAAGTATCTACTGTCCCTTGCTCATCCCCGATACTGGTAGCCAAAGACACGTCTACATTAATGTGCTAAGATCTCTGAGCTCTGGAATCCCGGGTTCAGTGACACAGAAATCACATGAAGAGCTCCAGGTCTTTGAGGCCCAGTGTCCCTGGGTCTCCTGAGTCCCACAGACGCAAACCCTCATGGTGTCCTCAATGGCCCAGGAGTTAACAGAGTCACGTATTTCCTTCCAGACTATGCGTGGAGAGTCGCCCCCACCCCTGCCCAGGGCTAACAGTGTTGTGGCTACTTCCCCAGGAGCCCTGGAGCTGCACCTGTGACTACTGTCCCCTCTGGATGGGATTGGCAGGGGGAGAAGCTGTGGCATTTCTGATGCTCAGTTTGATGGCTTTGGGAGACATTTCTATGCTCTGACAAAACCCAAGAACCTTGGCAGAGGGGCCTTTCCTACGTGCCCACAGACATGCCCCTCCTCCCGGGACCTCCAAGTAAAAGGGAGGGAGGGCTGTGGTTCTGCAGGTGTGGGGTCAGCAAGAACCTCTTCTCCCACTCCATGGGGTGCTGAAGGCCACCCAGCCCCAGAAGGTCTCCCCTTCCCCAGGGAGCGGCGGAGCTCTTGCCTGTGTATAGAAAGAACAGGATGCTTTCTTCTGTAAGTCAGAATTCACTTGAATGCCGGCTCTGCCACAATTTCTAAGCCAAACCTGGGGCAGTTTTCCTGCACACTCTCACCCAATGTTCTCAGGGGTGGGGACTGGGAATGTTGAAATCAGAATTTTGACAGGCTTTTTTTTTTTTTTTTAAGTGGGGAGAGGGGTGGCAATTAAATGAGATAGTGATTACTAAAGCCCAAGTATGTGTGTGTTGAATCACCTTGGAACAAAGAGTAGTCCCCACCCTAGTAATTCACTCAGGACCCCCTGCATGGCCCTGGATCCTCCCCAAGCTCTCATAGTGACAGGAGAGAAGCGGGGAGGGGGGGAGGGACATGAGAGAAGTATACAGGTGAGCCAAGCACGGAACTGAATTGCAGACCAGAGCCTTCCTCGACTCTAGGGGGTGAGTAGGGGGTTTCCACTGGAAAGACTGATGGGAGTCCCCATCGCACAACTCCAGACCAGCCAGTGGTACAGCCCAGGGGATCCCCCATCCCTCCTCAGACCTTACCTCGCTGTTGACAAAGCAGTATAAGATGGCCACCATCAGCCCCTGGAAATGAGAGGCAGGTCAGCAGAGGGCAGGGTGGCAGGGGCTCTGCGGCAGGCCCTAGTTGGAAGGGCCTTGAGGCTTCTGCCCTGACATCCCCCTCCCCAAATCAGGCAGCCCAGGCAGACCCAGGGACTGACCATGGTTCCTTCCTCTCCCTTTCTGGAGGGGCAAGAGGCCCTTGGCTCACACCTGCAAAAGTGCTAATACCCTTTCTCCTGAGGAAGCCAGATGCAGGAAAGCATAGCACCTCCAAACAGGGAGAATTCTCCCACCCCAGCCCCCTCAGAAGACCCAGTGCTCCAGAACTGTGTTCCACTTGTGTGTGTCCCCACATGCACATGTATGTAAATGCACACGTGTGGGCTCATGTGCTTATAGGCCTCCTATAACACTCTGAGGGGCTGGGGTCAGTAACATTGTTACACCACTGAAGCAGCTTCTAAACGTAGTAGAAGGCTACTTCTTGTTTTAGTACTTTTGAGCCTCAGTTTCCTCCTCTGTCAAATGAGGGTTACTGCATTCTGGGAGGATTAAATGCCCCATGCATGAAGCACATGGTACGGTGCCCACCACTCAGAAGATGGCAATTGTGAGGCAGGCTGGGTGCCCAGGATCACATCTGAGAAGAATTCTTTTTTTTTTTTTTTGGTACTGGGGATTGAACCCAGGGGCACTCAACCACTGAGCCACACCCTCAGCCCTTTTTTGTATTTTATTTAGAGACAGGGTCTCGCTGAGTTGTTTAGTGCCTCGCTTTTGCTGAGGCTGGCTTTGAACTTGCCATCCTCCTGCCTCAGCCTCCCAAGCCACTGGGATTAAAGGCATGAGCCACTACACCCAGCCTGAGAAGGATTCTTGTCCCATGTGCTTACAGAGAAAACTGGCCAGCATGTCAGGACAGCTGGGGGTACTGGCTCTGGCTCTAATCTGACCATGTGACTCTGGGCAGGGGTCACCCCCAGGCCTTGGCCTGCTCATTTTTCCCACCTGCGTGATGCAAGCTATGTCTGTCCCTCCCCCATTCTGGAAGTTCCCAGCTGAGAGTCACCTGGAAAGAGGTGAAGGACAGCTCTGTGAACAGCTTGATGAAGCGCAGGGTTCCCCGGGCATGTTCGTCCATCACGAAGGCAAAGATGACCTCGTGGGTCCCCAGCAGGGGGATGAGCGTCAGTGTGGACTTGGCAAGTCTGGGGGAAGGGGAGACCTCTGGAGTTATTCTGGACCTTGCACACCAATTCTTTCCTCCATCTGTGCCCTCCCCTCTTCCTGCCAGGACCTGGCATCTGGGTCATGGTTACTCCTGCCCTCCCAACCCCCTGCAAAGCCCAGGGGCTGCCCAAGGACAAGGTGAGGGAAAGGTTTGGGGCTCCAAGGTCAGGCCTGGGTGGGAGAAGCGATTCCTAACCCTAACTCGCCCTCCTAACTAAGCGTCCCCGTATCTCTCTGCTAGAAGCGAGGGCTGAGGGGCCCCAACAAAGCCAGCTTGGTGAGGTCACCTGCATTTGATGTCTGTCTTGCACATGAGATTGGCCTTCAGTTTGGACACCACGATGCAGATGACCCGGACAAAGATGAAGAAGTTGACCTGTGGAGCACGTGGGCAGGTGGCTGGGGACCCTCCTTGCACCCTTGCCCTGGCTCCAGCCCACCATAGCTCCCACGCCTACCCCCCTACACACCATCACTCACCCCAATGGCAAAAAGAATGGGCAGTCGGATAATGAGCCAGTAGTTCATGTTGGAGTTCCTGGTCCAGCAGCTGGGGGAAGGGGGTAGGCACACGATGCATCCAGCTGATCTCAGGTGCCACAGATACATGTGGCCACACAGTCACCCATACACACAGAGTCCCAAATACATGGTCACACAAAGGGAGATACCCAGAGTCCCCAACAAGTATTCATGGCCCCGTGAACACAATCCTGTGTGTACCCAGCATCAAACACAAAATAACAGACATTCACTCATAGACATACAAAAAAATCCTGCAGGAAGGAACCATGTGCCCCACGGATCTGCACCATTTGTTATCACACCAACCACGGGCAGGGGCCAGAGCAGGGATTTGAGAATTGCATTCAAAATGTTAAGCTCCTGGTCCCTCTGTTTATCCTCCCATATCCCCAGGGCCCAAGGAATCCAGTGGACTTTGAGGATGGGGATCTTAGCACATCCGTGCGCTTGGCACAGGACACTCACCCCTCGTCCTCATAGAGGTACTTGACGATGCCCCAGGGGATGACAAACAGCAGGGGAACACCTGAGAGGAGAGAGGGGGAGAGAGAGGGGACAGAGGCTGGCAGACCACAACTATTGCCATGCATGCCCACGGCCATGCATGAGCCCCGCCTCAGCCGGCTCTTCCCACCCCAACCCCCTCTGCTTGTCTGGCCCCAAACCACGTTTCTAAGGGGGCCTGGGTGCACAGGAGACCCGAGGCGCAGCAGGAACCCCACACTGATGCCCCGCACTCTCCCTTAGAGAGGTCCTCACAGTTCAGCCCTCCCCCACACCAGGCACTCTGTCAGGACTTGCTCCCAGGATCCTGGCAGAGACACTGGGACATGGACACCCACTCAGCAGGGGACAGGGCTGTGCAGTGGGGAGGACGTGCTGGACAGGGAAGGGACGCTCTCTGATGCTCTTGTCCTCAGTTCATCCTACACACCACTCAGTCTCCCCCTTCAGACACCCGAAGTCCCTTCAGTGTTTTGTTCCCTTTGCCCATTCTCTGCTCAGGGCGGAAGCCTGGAGGAGAGACGGAGGCCCTGTGCTGGACACCAACATGCCCACTGAGTGCCTGTAGCCTTCAACAACAACAGCCCCAACAGCAGTGAGACCCCTCCGCTTGGCCGAGTGTGTAACGTGGGTAAGCACTCCCCAAGGTTCCCGGGTGGTGCTCATGGGAAGTGGTGGGACCTGTAAGAGGTGGGGCCTTGGAGGAAGTCCTTAGGTCACTGGGGGATTTGGGGATCCCTGCCTGCCTAGCCTCGCCCTTTGACTTCCTGGCCAGGAGATGAGCTGCTTGCTCAGCCACGTGGGTCCTTCCATTGCCATCTAGGACCCCTACCAAAGGCCCAAAGCAATGGCTCTGTCCAATCCTGGACTGGAAACTACAGAAATATGAGCTAAATAACCCTTTTCTCTTTATAAGTTAATTGTCTCAGGTATTCCATTATAGTCATGCAAAGCTAATCCAGCTGAGACGGACTGGTGTGGTAGATGTCACCCGGTGATTCTTACCTCATGGTATTCATAGCCTTGGATAATCCCACTATATCAGGATTGTTTTGTGTGACAAATCACATAGGGCAAGAGTGATGGTGTGTCACTTTTGAGATTAGGTTATAAAAAACTCTGCATCTCGCCTGGGGCTCTCTCTTTCTCTCATCATTTACTGTAGGGAAATCAGTTGTCACCCACGAGGGCACTCAGATGACCTGCAGAGAGGCTCCCGCAGCAAGGAATGAGGCTTCCTGCCAACAGCCTCCTGAATGAGCTTCAAAGTGGCTTCTCCACCCCTGGTTAAGCTTTGAGATGACAGCAACCAGGACCTTCAGCTTAACCAATCTCAGTCAGCAATCCTGGGCCAGGGGTACCCAGGTAAGTTGAGCCTAGATTCCTGAGCATAGAGACTGTGAGATGATAAATGCTTGTTGCTTTAAGCAGCTAAACTTGGTCTATATCCATTAGTTACATACCAGTAGATAACTAATAGATCAGTTTCTAGTTCTGCAGCTTAATCTGTCTTGGTTAATTGAACATTGGATTATCTACTCTTAGGTGACAAAGAGATGGATCAGGAGCTCAGAAGCACACAGTGGGACCAGAATCCAGGGCTGCAATCTCCCACCCACTCTGATCACCCTCCAGACTTTCTGCACCACTCTCTCCATGCCTGTCTCTACCAACACAGCTCTCGAGTTGGACACGTGGGCATCTGCGATGGGTAAGGCTTTGGAGGGTGAAGTGTGTGGACATGGATGGGTGTGTGGGGTAGGGTCCTTGCATGTGCATGTGTGGCTTTTAGGGGTCTCCCCCAGGAGCACCTTTCCGGGGCAGAACCTCCTCAGAGCCACCACATCATCAACATCCTCAACTTGTTGATGTCCACACAACAGCAGCTACTCAGCGGCTCATGTGCCCGGGGCCAATGTGCCTGATGACGCAGGCGGAGGGAGGATGGAACACTCTCTTCACCGGGTCTCTTTCTCCTGGCCCATTTACATTTACACAAACCAGACCCTCAGTATCCACAATGACATAAAAATAGACCTGCGTGAGACTTGGCAGGAAGTGGATGACTTCGAACAGTCCCAGAACAGAGTGTGGGCCCTACTGCGAAGAAGCTGTTCAGTAAGAACAGGACCAATGAATGAATGAGTCAACACACCAAGGAGGGGAGGGAAGCTCTCCAGGCCAGAACAGGCCCCCTCCCTGAGTCAAACACACAGACAGAAACTTCCTGTTGGGCATCTCCAGCCACCTGCTGTCCCTTCCCTCTGAGACCCTGCTCCAGGATGGGGGAGCTCACTCATGTTCTCAGCCAGGGAGAGCTTCATGCCTCCATTACCATCTCCCAAACAAAGCCTTTTGAAAAGCAAGAGCACAACCCTGCTACACGCAAAACTGCCCAGTCCAGGATGGCCAACTCACTCTCCCATTTAGAAACCAAGTCAGACGGGGTGGGGGACAGAAAGGTCAAATTAAGACACAGAGAACCAGTTCTGAGAAGTGATGTTCCCCTCCTCCCTCACTGGCCTTCCTTCCCCTGCCGTTTCCAGGGGTACCCAACCACTCATGGACCGTGACACAGGTTGACTTGTCTTTTGGGGGTTCGGCCCAACTGCACTGGAGTCCTAGTTCTGATTCTGCTTGTACAGGATGCCTAAAGTTGTTCCTGAGCATCCTAATTTGGACCGGGCCTCCTGGCATCACGACAGAGCCCTAAGGTCCCTGTGAATCCTGACCCCCCGCCCCCACTCTGTTCGGCTGGCTTGTCTCTCTCTGCCTCTCCCTACTCCAGGTCCTCAAGTAGAAGACATTCTTTGGTTGGGGAGGGCATCTCCCTGGTCCTGCCCTCATTCTCCACAGACCCTGAGCCCCGAGCTAGGATGTGAGGTGGCAGGAAAAAGGCCCCTTCCCCCACCGCCCACCCAGAGACCTCCAAGGTACCCGTGTATCCCCACCAGCCCCACCAGCCTCCCTGCTCTGCTGCACACCACACCATCCCTTTGATTGGTCCTGCCTTCAGGTCGCTATGGTGACAGGCACTAACAGCACTGATGCTATTTCCCAGAATGAACAGGCATGGTCCCCCACCCTGAGGACAGCCTTGCCTGAGCAGCCCTCAATGACCTGCCTCCTCCCCAACCCAGGGAGCTGCAGGGCTCTTCAGCTGCCTGATGGACTGCCAGGCAGGATGAAGAAGGCTGGGAGGCGAGGAAGGGCCTCCTGGGTGCAGGTGGGAGGGTCCTGGGGGAGGAGGTGGAGGGAGGGGCAGGGATCTGCACTGGGAAGTCAGGCCTACTGCCACCTGTCCAGAGGCCTGATCCTGCTGAGGGGCCTGTAGAACACTGAAGAGCTGGAGCACCAGCCAAGCCCCCTTGCAGGCGTCCCAGGAGCTGGGAGACGGGCTACAGTGCCTGCTCTTCTTCTAAGGCCCTGTCCCGCTCTAGGTTTTGGTGTCTGTAAGACACTGGTCACACTAAAACCTCTCCGGAGCGTCTCTTCTAGGATGGAGCTGAGGCACACCAGAAAAAATGAATGCCACGTGAGGACAGAACAGGAGGCTGAGGGCTGGGGAGGGCAGAGCTCTGAGGGCCCAGCAGCCTGAGGAAGCTTCCAGAAGACAGGGCTGGCAGCTCCGGGACATTCCTGGACCAAGAACAGACTTGTAAAGGACCAGGAGGGAGAAAGGTGGCAGGCATCTGCTGGAGCAGAGCTGGGAAGTCCCTGGAGTCCTGGGCAGCACTGGCCAAAGTTTCCCAGGGGAGGTGCACGAAGGGCCAATGGACAGTGGAGCGTGGGAGGTGGTGAGGTATGAGGACGCCAGACATGCAGAGTCCACGGCAGATTGGGGGGTCAGTGGGCAGGGCCTACTCTGGGCTCCGTCCCCGGTGGTGCCTGGGGGCTCCTCCAGGAAGGGATGTCACAGGCTTTGCTGGTGGTGCAGAGTTCCTAGCCCCCCACGGAACTCCAACGGGCCCCTCATCACTATCCCGCGTGGCGAGAGGCAGAAGCACAACCAGAAATGTTCCAGCAAAAAAAAAAGACACGATGGTTCTTGGCAAACTTTTTTGGCTAGGACATTTCCAGCTAGGCTCCAGGCACATCCGTGGTCCACCCGCTTCCTGGGCTCTCCTCTGACCCGCCTCTTCATCACCATGAGACAGAACCCCGTCCCCTCAGGCCCCATCCTCCTGACCACTCCTCCTCGAGCCAGGACTCACCACTGCCCTCAGAGCCAAGGGCTGCCCTGGCCTGGTGTGGAGGTCCTTCCCCACAGGACCTCAGAAGCAGGGGTTTGTGGACAGGGCCATGTCCTCCATGGCTATATGGTTGTGGTAGAGGTGGTATTTGGCCAGGGGGTTGGAGATTTCCATTATGGGAGGACAGTTACACAACAGGTATGTCGTGGAGTGAGACCCATAACCCCCTGCGGTGCCCAGTGATCCCCTCAGCGAGAGGTCCTGTGCTCAGGACTAATCGGTGGGCTCTGCCCCTTGGCCTGGCAGGGTGTTCTGGGCACCAAGTTGGGAGGGGCATCAGGGTCTCCCACCCCCATGCGGCAGGTCCAGGTGGGGGTCTGGTGAGGTCAGTGACATGACATGGCGGTAGGCCTTACCCCAGCCTACGCTCAGGTAGACCTTGAAGATGCGCTGCTCCGAGAAGACGGAGAAGGCCAGCAGGGTGTACAGGTAGACGCCCTCCACCAGCAGCCAGTAGTAGTTGGCCGCCACGCAGTACTGCATGAGTAGGAACACCAGGCGGCAGCCCAGAGAGTCCTGGGGGCAGGGGAAGGACCTGGTGAGATGGCAGCCCTGCCTCCTGCTAGGCCGTTGCTGCCCTTCCCTGTCTGCCCCAGCTGCTGGCCTGCCATGGTCATGCGGGATGAGGGCGCTCACATCCTCTGGCCAGGGCTGTGCCAGGAAGGTCTGCCTTACCTCAGGGAGCCGCCCTCCCTCAGGGAAGGAAGCACCGTGATGTCACCCCCATTAGGGGAGAAGCAACCTCACAGGGGTTGATGACACAGCTCCCAGGGGCAGACGGCTCTCTTTGGTCAGATTGAGAACCCCCGGGGACAGGGCCTTCACCCTGAGACTGGAGTCGCTGGTGAGACTCCTCTCTCATTGGAATGGAAGGTCCCAAAGGGGATTGCCTCTCCCACGGGACTAGGGCTCCCTGAGGGCCAAGCCCGGGCAGCTCTTGCCTCTCCTGTCCCAGGCCTAATTGGAGTGGGAGGAGCAGGGCTTCACCAACCATCTGCCACCACCCCCAGGCGCCTCCTGGGCACAGGACACACCTGGTAGGAGAGGAGTCCGTCCCACTGGTGCTGCTGGGCGGCTGTGCTGTACATCCACTTGAGGGCCGCGTCCTTGATGAAGACGGACAGCGCTCGCAGGATGAAGGATGCAAACAGGTTCAGGTGGATGTAGTTCCGGGTGCAGTGCAGGTGTCTGAGGGAGAAAGCAGGCCCATCCCTAGCAAGATGGCCAACAGTCCTACTCTGCAAGCCCCAGCTCTCTGGCCACACCACTGGGCATGTTTCCAGCTCTTCCTTCCTCTTCGAAGGCCCTTCTCCCCCATAGCCTGGAAAACCCTCTGGTCCAGCTCAAGTCCTGCCTCTCCATGAAGCCTCAGCTGTCAGGCACTGCCCTGTCCTCCGACCATATTCTGTCACACTGCAGCCTCTACATTCAGTCACCCATGCGCCAAGAGATGTATGTGTGAGGCTCAGCCTCCCCAGTGGGGACTTGGGTTCTTTGTGGCAGGGTCCCTGGGTTAAATGCCTCTGGCCTGCTCCCTGAGGCAGAGCAGGCAGAAGGCACTGGACACAAGCTCAATATCCTTCATGCAAAAGGTATAGCCAACGGAAACTCTGAGGACAGTTCTTAAGGTGAAAAAGGCTATCTATCTACCCAACAGAGAAAACATTATTCTTTTTTTTATTATTTTTTAAATTGTCAATGAACCTTTATTTTTTTGTTAACTTATTTATATGTGGTGTTGAGAATCGAATCCTAGGCAAGTGCTCTATCACTGAGCCACAGCCCCAGCCCAAAATATTATTCTTAACTGAGAAACTTTGAAAATATTTACTTTAAAATCAGGAACAAGATAAGGACCTGCACTATCATCACCTCTATTCAACATGTACTTCAGATCTTAGCCGCTAAAATAAGGCCAGAGGAAAAAATAGGCAAGAATTGGAAATAAACAAAATGGTCATTATTTGCAGTTGATGTATTATCTTCATGAGAATCCAAGTCAGCATACAGATGAGTTATTAGAACAAGTGAGAGGGTTCAGCAAGGTTGCTGATACATACATTTACACACACCAGCAGCAAACACTTAAGAAGTGAATTTAAAGAGTAATTCATTTATAATATTTTAATTGATTACCTAGAAATAAGTCTTACAAGAAAGTGGGCAAGATCTTTATGGAGAACAGTATAAAACTTACTTCAAATCATTAGGGAAATCTTAAATTAATGAAAAACACCTAGCTATTCTATACTTAAGGATAAAAAGAGACATTGTCCTGAAGGAGTCGGTTAGTTCTTCCCACATTAATCAATAAATTCAGTGTAGCTGTAATAAAAACACCAACTTCTTTTTTTATGGAACTTTAACAACTTTAGATGCTCGGCACAGTGGCACATGCTTATAATCCCAGTGGCTCGGGAGGCTTGAAGCAGGAGAATCACAGGTTCAAAGCCAGCCTCAGCAACTTAGCAAGACCCTAAGCAACTCAGCAAGACTGTGTCTCAAGATAAAATATTATAAAGGGTTGGGGATGTGGCTCAGTGGTTAAGTGCCCCTGGGTTCAATGCCTGCTTAATTTTTTTTTTTTTAAAGAGCAGAGGGCCAGGAATAGTCCAGAACTCCTAAAGAATCACTAAGTAGGGTCCCTGTTATAATAGAACTAGGATTTTTAATAAATAGGGTTTTGTTTTTTTTTTGTACCAGGAATTGAACACCCAGGGCACTTATCCACTGAGCCACATCCCCAGCCATTTTTATTTTTTATTTTATTTTGAGACAAGGTCTCTAGGGACTCACTAAGTTATTAGGCTGGCTTTGAATTTGCTGTCCTCCTGCCTTAGTCTCCCAAGCCACTGGGATTATAGGCATGTGCCATCGTGATCAGTTCTCAAAAATCTTTAGGAGAAAGTCACCATCGTTTTGGGACAGGGAAGATAAACAGACCAATAGAAAAGAGTATAAATGACAGAAGCCAACTTACAAATATATAGACACTTCTTGTATGGTAGAGTGACACTGCAAACCAAGAGGGAAGGCATGGGTTATCAGTAAATGGTACTGAGACAATCAATTATATATACGCATGGAAAAATGGAACTAAGCCCCTGATTTTCACCACACACAAAAATAAGTTCCAGGTGGATCAGAGAACCACAGGGAAAGAGCAAAATTCTCTTTTAGAAGGAAATATAGGTGACTATCTTTGTGATTCTAAGATGGGGTAAGATTCCTTACAGAAAAGCATAAAGTAAATTTAGTCTTTGGAAAAGAATGATTTTTTTATCAATTGATAAAAGTTAATTTTATCAATTGACAACATTTATTGATAAGTCTTTTTTATCAACAGGAGATAATAGAATAATTTCAACCCATTAAAATGTAGAACTTCTATGCATAAAGGGCACCATGGAGTGAGTAAAGAAACAGAGACTCAGAGAAGGTACATCCTGGGTTAGTATCTAGAATAATGAGTGCCTGAGATAAACAAGAAAAGCCAGATAGACAAATAAAAATTCAGCAAAGGATATGAACAATCAAGTCATAGAATAAACCATGAAAAAATGCCTGGGAAAATTAAATTAAAAATTAAATGCAAATTAAAATTGTAATGAGATATTTCACAAACTTCAGAGTAGCAACACTTAATTTCTAAAAATATTAAATACTGGGGAATATGTTAAGCAAAGGAATCTCTTTTACTACTGGGGAGAGGGAAAATTGGTAATGACCACTTTGAAGAGCAACTTTACTACCACCTAGTAAATTTGCAAAAGCAGGTGGTCTTTGATTGGGCCGTTGAACCCCTAGATACATGCCCTAGGGAGATACAGGATGGGTCACAGGTGAGAAAGCCCGTTATAGCAAGGTTTATAAGTCAGAAATAAGTTATCTATTAAAATGATATCAGACAAATAAGCCGTGCTACAACAAAAGAATATGGAATGACTGTTAAAATTAATGATATAGAACTACCTGGTTAATGTGAATCTCACAAAAACATAATGTTGAACCAAAATAAAATGCAGAAGAATATGTATGATGTACTGTTAAAAATACACAAAGCCATGCTGTATATTTTTACAGACACTTAGAAACGTGGTACAAGGATGAGGAAATGAGTGGGACCTCATAAGAGGTCTGGCCAGGGGTTTCCTCTGGTGGGGGTGGCCAGGGGCTGACCTTACAGTCACCAGGGAATGTGACTCTACTTGAAGGCTGGATGCATTCATCACTGAAAGGCTTCATAATAAAAGAGAAGAATATTAGTCCAGTGAATGCATTTATTGAGCACCGACTGTGTGCTCAGCACTGTGCCAGGTGACTTGGGGGCAAAAAGAGGAATACCACATCTCCTGTTCCTGCTGGGCTAGTGTCCTGAAGTCCCTGCCTTCAGAGTTGTCCCCACTCTCAGAAGTCTTCCTGTCCCTGAACCCAGCTCCCCTGATGTACCCAGAGGGAATGGGAGGAACCTGCTCCCCAGCTCCTAGTCTAGGAGGAAGGTCTCGTCTGACAGAGTAGAATTTCTAATCACCTAAAATCATACTGAATTATTGATTACTGAAGTTACACCCTCTCACTGGAGAGGATGCCCAGGATTTTCCACCCCTGTTAAGGTGACGGGGAGTCATTTTTGCAGTACATGTGGACATAGTTACCCAGCAGAGATCAGAGTGCGTACACAGTGCTGTCCTGTGTTTTCAACCTCGTGTTCTCCAGAGAGTTCCAGAAAGAAGGGCTTATTGTAAGGCTGCTTTGGCTTAGAGTTCCCCTCCTCTACCTGGAGCAGTGAGCATGAAGGAACCCCCTCCCAGGGTCTCAGCCCCTTACCTGAAGCTGAGGAGGATGGCGGAGGCGATGACCAGGGCCGAGAAGGAGAGCGCATAGCCCACCGTGTAGATGACGTAAAGGGACAGGAGCTGCTCCTCCGGGGAGCTCTGTGAGCACACGGGGACACAGTGAGGGTGGTGCCGTCCACTGCCCCCTCACTCCTCACACTTCTCTCCAGGGGATAAGGACAGGGAGGGCCCCAAGGCAGACCCCATTGGGGACCCCAGAACCAAGGACGAGAATGACCTATGGAGACGGCTTCAGAGGCCCTGGGAAGTTCCAAGGCCCCAGAAGGTGTGACAGGGGGTGCATGAGAGGAGCACAGACAGACCCCCCAGAAGCCCACCGTGGAGACCCTGCTGCTGGGTCCTGGGCTCAGAACTCCTCCCAAACTCACTTTCTCCCCTCGCTTGGACTCCTCGCACTCCGACAGGTCCCTCCACGGCTGGCTGGAATTGTCCTTGTGCAGCCAGAGGCCCTCCGCTGTGCAGAACCGGTACACATGGCCCTGCGGCACTGGGAGAGGGGAGGGTGGCTCTGTCCAGTGCTCAAAGGCCCTTGTCCTTCCCCATCCTGAAGGTCATCCCTGATCCACTTGTGAGATAGTAGGAGGCTCAGACCTGCCACATACACACACACACATCTTCATCCCATCCTATAAACCATGATGGCCCCGGGATGGGACAGCAGGTCACTAAGGTGGACTGGTCACCCAGTCCCACCCTCAGCTTCTCCTCTTGGCTACCAGGGGATGCAGTGGGATGAACCCATATCTCTGAGATGAGGTCAGTCCAGCCCAGATCCACATCCCAGCCCCCAGCATTAAATCACACAGGGGACCCTGCCACAGTCACTTTCTGTAACTTCTGATTTTCTAACTTGGCCCCATTTACCTCTCACACTCTTTGGGGACGTCAGATCCTAAGAAAACTGAAGACCCCGAGGCTCTGAACTGCAGCCCCTACCTCAGGGTGCCCCAGTCTGAGGGAAGATAAGGCTCTGTCCTCGAGGAGACCAGTCTAAGAAGACATAGCTCTGTTCTCTGAGGGGAGATACAGCCCAGTCCTCAGGGAGACCCCGTCTGAGGCAGATGTCCCAGTGATGCCCAGTTGAGGGTGGACACAGCTTTCCCCTTAGGAAGTCCCAATCAATCTGATCCAGGACACAGACTCCCCTTCAAAGACCACCCAATCTAAAGGGAACACAGTCTCCAGGTACAGATGGACTTTGCCCTTGGACTTACGTTTCAAAGGGGAAGAGCAAGCGTCTACTTCAAGTAACCCCTAGTCATACTTGGAGATGGAACTAGCCCTTGGAGACCTCCTAGTCTGAGAGAGGGGAATGCCCTAGCCCCTGCCCTCAGGTAGCGCCTAGTCTGGGGACGAGGCACAGTCAAGACTCTCACGAGAAAGGAATACCACCAATACAAACCAGCAGAGATGAGAGAGGCCTAGCAGAGCTAGGAGAGGATATCACCTGTGGCCATTCCCATCCCACCTGGGTATCCAGGTGCTAAGAGCATCCCCACAAGCCCCACGGCCCTCCCCCTCCCCCACCCAGGGAGACAGGCTTATGGCCCCAGGTTGGATGTGGGGTGGGGAGAGTGCTTACTTGTGTCTAGGAGAAAACACCTCATTCCTCACCTCCCTGCAGGGGAACCCGAGTCTGGCACCAGGCCAGGGAACAGGTAAGGGACAGAGGAGTTGGCACGGTGATTGAGGAGGGAAGCTGGCTGGGAACACTTTAAAAGATTTTAAATTCTAAAAGACTAGAAGATTTTAAAGATCAGCTTCCTGCGCTGTGTGAGGCAGGCACAGTGAGACAGAGAGAGAGAGAGAGAGAGAGAGAGAGAGAGAGAGAGAGAGAGGAGAAGCCACCAGAGGTCCTGGGTGACAAGTGGCTGGTCAGTGCTCAGGTCGAGAGATCAGCAATAAAATGAGGTTAGTGAACATGCGTGTGCCAAGGAGTGTCCCTCAGGGGCTTGGAGGGTGACCTTCTAATACAGGGGCTCTATTTTACAGATCTTAAGGTTGTTGTCACATGGCAAGGAGATCTTTATCACAGGGTCCAGTTCCTATACCAGAAGGGCCTGTTGACTGGACCTTGTCCTGGTCTTTCCTTCCCTAACGCATCCTGGACTTGCAGCGGTACCCCTTCGGGAGGACCTGTGTTTTATTTATTTGTTTATTTTTTGCAGTGCTGGGGATTGAACCCAGGACCTCTCACATGCTTGGCAAGTGCTCTACCACCGAGCCACCTCCCCAGCAGAACCTGCATTTTAAAAGAGACTTCACCTGGGAGAGAAATGAGAACCCAAAATCTAATGGTAGAACTTCTGGCAGTGGGATGAGCACGGGGGACCCCTCTAATGCACTGATGAACAAAATCAGGCACATGGAAACCCAGAGAAGGGGAGGTGCATGGTCTGATTTTAGTAACTTGAAGGGCTCCTCTCAGTCCCCATATGCCTCTTCTATCTGCTGCGGGATGCCTGAAATCCTTTCCTGGGGGTCAAGTCATCAGATAGGCAGCAAGACCAGTCTTTGGCTGTAGATACCTCCAAGAGCAGTAACGGGGACCAGAGCGGACTTCATGGGCAGTGAGCAGGTGTCAGAGCCTGCTCTGCAGCTGGGCATCCACAGAATCAGTTTCTGAACACCTGCTGCGTACCTGACACCTGTGCAGGTAGGCATCGTCAATCCTATTTTACACACGAAGAAACAGCCTCCGAGAAGCCAGGTGACTTGCTTGAGATCAGGCGGTTAGAAGTAGCAGAGTCAGGCTTCTAGCTCTCTGCCTTCAGAGGACAGAAGTTAGCAGCCAGACTTGCTGCTAACAGTCAACCATGTCAACATGTGCCAACTGGTCTCTTTGCCATTGTGGCCCCGGGGGAGCTTGCACTCCTCATGCCCCCTGTTCAGGGCCAGCTGGGGGGTTGGGGAAGCGGTGTGCGCACAGATGTGTACATTCTTGTCACAGAGTCAGGGAGCACCGTGTCACTGAGAAGCTCAGTCAGCCTGTGCAAGTGCATCTGTCAGTTATCCTTCATTAGCATCAAATGTGAAAAGCCAGGGCTGGTTCCTGGCCGAGCCATGGTCCCCAGGCGCCCGTCCTGGCTGGAGGTGGGCTGGGTTGGACCCGGACCTGCTTATGGGCCCAGCTTTATCTGGCCTGGGAGGAGCTGGTCAATCACAGCCAGGGGCTTGGCTCCGTCTTGTCAACACAAGGAGCTGCATGCCAGGAGGCTCAGGGATATTTCATTAAGTCAGACCCTGGTCTGGAAATAAAACCCCCAGTTAAACACTTCCCCTCCTGGAAACTGTGACGGCACCTGTTATCGAGCTAACAGCCACCTGTCCATGAGGATGTGGGTACTCAGGGCTGTGGAGAGCAGCTCATGAATCCATTAGCTCCTGCACCCTGGCAGCAGAGGCAGCCATCAAGGGCCACTGGGTCCATTGTACAGATGGGGATGATGAGACTCAGAGAGGCAAGGAACAGGCCCTCCCAAACTGGTGGGAAGGGTAGCCTGGAGCATCAGGGCTCAGGAGAAGGAGCCCAGGTTCCCAACTCCACGGACACAAGATCAAATCCTGGTTCTTCCCTCAACCAGCTGTGGGCCCTTGGGGTCTCAGTTTCCTCATTTGTAAAATGGGAAGCAAAATGACTTTCCCAGGAGATAAAACAGTGAAGTCCCTGGTGCGTAGCAGACCTTTAACACTGGCTGAGCCCGTGGTCCCCAGGAGCCCATTCTGGCTGGAGGTGGGCTGGGTCTGGACATGGTGGAGACTCTGCTGCCACTCAGCCTTTAGCCAGGGCACCTCTGGGGCCCAGCTCGTGCCTCAGTCTCCCCTTGGCAACCGCAGCCTGCCGTAAAAGCTCCTGGGCTCGACATTACTCAGGGGAGGCACCTGCCAGAGTTTCTAAGAACTGTGAATGATCGGCTATTTTAAAAGCATTTTATGACTCTCATATAATTAGAACTAAGCTAACAAACAGGTAGAAATCAGGAGAGGGGCAGCTAATGAGGCTGGAATGATTTGTGGGTGAACGAGGCTGTTGCAGGGCCCTGGGGCAGCGATGGGCTCTCTGGAGCTCATGATCCTGTGTGCACGCGGCACTTCCCCCCAACACCGCCCTCCTCTCCCTCCTGCTCCCGCCCTCTGCACCTTCCTGAGTCCGGGTTCTCAATCGGGAAGGTCAGAATTCAAGACCCGGCTGGCTCCTCTGGGACATTGTGCAGCTCTGAGACCTGGACCCATGTCCACAGTGCTGCCTGAATGTCCTCCCTCTGTGAGGGGCCCTTCCTTCTCCTTTCTGCACCTGCCTATTCTGCCAGGCCTGGCCTGGATGTCACCTGTCCCTGGGAGCCTTCCCTATACCATACCCGAGGCACCACCTCCCTCAGCACCACTGCCTGGGCGGCTGGGCTGACCCCTTCAGCCTCGTGGTGAAGTCCTCCTTCTCTCTAGCACGCTCACACACCCTTGAAGGTCTTATGGGATCCTCACAAAGGTCTTCGGTCATTGTCTGGAATCGAATTCTTTCTCAAATCGCCCACTCCTCTGCCTTGCTCCCTGCCCAGAGGGCTGACCCCTGGGCCAGTGTCACTAGGCTCCTGGCCCTCTGCTGAGTCTGGCCAGTGGGAGGCAGGGACAGAAGGAGGACAGCAGCCCCTCCCTGCTTGTTCTGAAGTTCCGGCAGTGGCTTCTCCCCTCTGCAGACACAGACCTGCTGGTGGCTTTCCCCAGCTATCAGGAGGACCCCAGCCCCACTCCTGCCCCTTGCTGCTCAGGTCTAGGGGAGCTAAAGCTAAAGTTTTTAGTTCTGGGAGCTTCATATATGCCTTACTGGTCCCTTGGCCCTGCCCAGCCTGTGTGAGGGGCCCTGCCATTAAATCCACTCTTAACTCCTTGCAGGGCGTGCTTTCTGCCCGGCCTCTGCCCGAGGCAATGTCTTCCTTCTCCCCAACCTCAGCTCACACTGTGAAGTTTCTTACTGGCTGCCAAGAAAGCTCCAGAACTGCCCCCTTCCCACTCCCATATGCCCCAGGCGGGGGGTCAGGCAGCCTCGGGTGCCAGCATCTGATGGGGAAGCACCAGGCCAGAGACAGCAATTATGTTTTGGGAGCCTGGTGGGTGTCTCTGCGGGTCCCTAACTCAGGGAGAGGAGGCAGAGCTGGTGATTCCGAGTGTCAAAAAAGGGAGTAAATTAGCCTGGCGACGGGGGAGGGGGAGGAGGCTGGCAGGGGGCCTGTGCACAGGCCGTTATCTTCATGGAGAAAGCAATAAAACCGTGTTCGCTCATAAACGGGCACCACCAGGACCTATTTCCTGCTCAAATAAAATTAAAGGTGATGGATGGAGCCGCGAGCAGCAGGCAGAGCTGGGGGCGCTTAGTGCTGAGTGATGGGCCTTGTCCCGCGCCTGGCTCCCTGGGGTCTAGCGGCCCAGCCAAGGCTGGCCGAGCAGCAGTCCCAAATCTTCGAGAGACAGGGAACATGTGTGCGATGTGGGAGGTCAGGAAGGTATGCGGGGAGGGTGAGAAAAATTGATAGCCACGTTTTTTTCAAGGACCTTCAGTGTTCCCCACAGCTACGCCGCCTGCTCTCTCCCACCTCCAGGGCGAGCAAACCCAGGCCCAGGGGCCTGGGAACCTGCTCTGCCCACACAGCTAGTCAGGCCGAGCTGGGGGACTGCAGGGCCCATAGGAAGAGGGTGGGACGCTCACTGCCCTCCCTGGGGTGTGCCAGACAGCACACGTCCCCAATGAAAGCCTGGCATAGCAGCTGAACCCAGCGACTGTAAACCAGCCTCCAGGACTGATTCCTGGGTCCACGGCTCCTTAGCTGTGTGGGCTTACAAAAGCCACTGAGCATCTCTGTGTCTCAGTTTCCTTATCTGGAAATGACAGGGAGATCAGAGTTCTTGCCTCAGAGAGTTGTTGTGAGGACAGAAGAAGCTCGTGTAGGTCAAGTGTAAAGAGGCCATGGTGAAGAGGACCATGTGAATCCAGGTCCTCCCCAGGTGCCTGCCTCTTCCCCAGCCCTGTCTCCTCTGTGCACCTCAGGGTGTGGGGTGCAGCCTTCTTAGGAGACCCGCCTGGCCTTCCTCTGATCTCAGAGTCTCTTGGGCTGAGGTGAAGCTTACATCAGGCCCCGCCAGGCCACCTCCTCCAGGAAGTCCCTGGCACCCCACGGCTGGACTTCTCGCTCACTCAGGCCTTCTGGGACACAAGGGTAAGGGCAAGGACAAGATCAAATCCAGGCTCTGCCATTCACTGCCTCATTTGGAACATGTGACTTAAACTTCCTGGGGCCTTTGTTTCCTCATCTAGACCAGCATAACCACAAGGTGGCCGTAAAGACTAAACAAACGTCCCTCTTTTACCACAGGACTTGGCACATAGTAGGTATTCAATAAACACGAGCTATTATGATGATGATGATAAGAGCCTCTTCTCCTGTTATGAAGCCCATGGAGACCAACTCCTGCATCCCATGGTGCCCCAGCACAGGAGGCTGGGATAGAGAGGTGAGAGGAGAGGACATATTAATTACCCCCCTAGTCAAGTGTCCCCAGCAGCCTCTTTAGGTCTCTGTACCCAGTGACCCTCCCACCTACCCAGCTGCACCTTTCCCAGTTCAGAATCTCCCCTGCAGCAGGAATGAGCTGGGGAAGGCCTGAGGGGCCACCCACCGACACCCTGCTCACTGCTCCCCGTGAGCCTTTGAAGAGTCAGGACGTGGACAGGTGCCCCGTCCAGGTATGAGCCACCTACACACACACACACACACACACACACACACACATAGGTGCGGCAGAGCAATGACACCTGGGTGTCCCCCCACCCCCTAGTGTCTGTGCCCACTTGGTCCTGTCCCTGACTACTAGATTGGAGGGGTCACATTTTGGTCTTAAGTCAGACCCCATACTTGCTAGCACAGGCCTCAGGCCCAGGCTGTACTTCAGGCCACCCTGATACCAGCCACTGCTGACCATCCCACCCCTTCCCAGCTCTGGAGAGGCAGGAAGACCACTTACTAGGAGGCCTAAAGACGTGCGAGGGCTGCATCTCAGAGGAGAGGAAGCAGCGCCCTTTCCTGGCCTCCTGGATGCAGGGAGGGGAAAGACTCACCACTGCTGGCCCAAGGCAGGTACCAGGGGCAGCTGACATTCACAAAGGAACCTGGGGGCCCGTCTGGCCAGCAAGCATAGTCATCAAAAGTCCGGTTGCAGAAGAGGCCTGCAGACAGAGCGGATCATCTTAGAGTCCTTGCCAGTGTGGAGCCAGGGAGCATCCCCGCCTCTCCCCAGCATGGAGACAACACTCCACTGACCTCTGCTGAGTGCTTACTGTATGCCAAGCACTTTTCCCACATTGCAGGAACAAGCTGCTTGAGCAAGTGACTTGGTCCCTGTTTCCTCTCTGTAAAGGGAGGTACCCCCCACCCCGTGGGACCTTGTGGGGGAGAAGACTGTATGTACATACATGGACATAGTAAGTGCTCAATAAACAATCCCTAAAGGCCTACTTTAGGTTACTCATCACAGATCAGAGATAAACAGTAGCTTATGAGGCTGAGAAAACCTTTCTCAAGTGACCTTGTGATAATTACAGTCAGGATCTGATCCCAGGACCGTATGACTGTAATACTGTGCTCTTTAAACCACCTTACAAACTCGGGCAATATTCACTCTTATAAACGTGCTTGTTGGACTTTTAGTCTCTGCACAGGTCATCAGGGGCCGAGGAGGACATGAAATGGAAAGGCCAGGTCCCTGCTCTGAGAGGCTCCAGCTGGGGGTGGAAAGGATGGATAAGCCCCCCAAAGCCGAGCACAGGCCACTGGGTAGACAACAGAGATTCCTGGGGGAAGGAGAGCTTGACCTGGAAGAACCTGTGGTTCTAGGTAGGGGACAGGGACAGAGAGGCATTCAGGAGAGGGGACAGCTTGACAAAGGGCTGGGGGCACAGTGCAGCTGTGACGTCCCAGAGAAGCAAATGACCCCCAAACACGAACGTGGGCTCCATCACCACTTTCCGAGCGATGGCTGGGGGAGAGGGTGAGGATGAGGCCCCACCTGGACCTACCTGTGGCCGGAGGTGGAGCCTCCGTCAAGAAGCGCTGGCACTGGCGACGGTACTCTCGCCATTTCTGCACCGTCTCAGAGAGGGACACGGTGGCGCCCTGGAGGGGAAAGGGCAGAAATGGGGACCTGTGGGCCCAGCCAGCCCCTCTTCTGCCTTCTCACCCCCACCCTCTTGGTTTTTTGATCTCTAGGGATCTTAGACACCCCAACCCCCCCAGGCAGGCAACGGCCCCCTTCCCGGGTGGCGGGGAGCCTGACGCAAAGGTAGTAGGTAGTTTCAGGGGATGGGTGGGTGAAGGGGGAGCAGAGCATGTGTGACTCATTCATGCCTTCGTGCCCTGGTCTAGGAGAGGACTTCCTGAGGGCCAGGGCTGCCTTATTGCCGGGGCCTCCCACCTCCCCATGCCTCCTCAGCCTGCCTAAGTGAACCCAGCACCTCAGGAAGCAGAGCTAAGGATCAGACCTGGAGCTCCCCAGCTGGGTGACTGTGCTCAAGGACTAAGGGTGTAGGGTGCAGCCACACCTGGTACTACAGACAGAGCCAGATTAGTACTCCTCCGGCAAAACCCAACCACTGACCGAGGAAGGCTACAGGCCCACCAGTGCCACCCTCTAACATGACACAGATCCATTACTCAGCCCAGCTCTACCCACCAGGAGGAAAAGCCACCCTGAGAGGACATGGTGGAAGGGGTCAAGAAGGTTCCAGAACACTGAAGTCACACCTGCGATGGGAGGGGCCCTCCTTGTGAGTGGGGGATATGAATCTCAATTTTCACCTAAAGGAACACACAGCACCAACCAAACAGCCCCACTCCCCCAGGCACCACCCTCTGCACGTTTATTGTTGTTGTTGTTGGTGGTGGTGGTGTGGGTGTGTGCATGCGTGCGTGCGTGTGTGTGTATGCAATGCCTTTGGGTTGGGTGCTTTATCATTTCATTTTTTTTTCCTGAACAGCCTTAAAGATTATAAATATTCCTTATTGTGAGGCTGTAGTTGCCAAAATGACCGGAGAGCCCCTTGTATAAAATTTAGGGTCTATACATAATTTAAAACAAAATTTCACTTTTTGAAATCACAGAGATGTACACGTGGGCTGAAATTAAAGCATTTCAGAACCTGGTGTCCCTGACTCGCCGGCAGCTCCCTAAGCACACACCAGACCTGGTGCCAGGTGGTCCTGCCCTGGGGTGAGCTGAGCTGTGTTAAAGACATCTCTCCAAAGTCCCAGGTGCCAACCTGAGCTTCCCTAGCCACACGGAAAGCTCCAGAGGGGAGTCAGGCTTGCTCTGAGCAGTGAGTGAGCTAAGGCTGGCCGGCGGGGGGACTGCCCTGGAGAACAGGGCTCTTCTGAGGGTAAGGATCAGCTTATTTGTTGGAGGTGAAGGAAGAAAAGGAAATCAAATGTACCAACAGTAAACATGGTGGCGTGATTTTTAGTGTGATTTCAGCTGAGAGGTTGGCAAGGTTTTCCTGAGAATCAGTCCAGGGGATAAAGCCACCTGTCCACTTCCTTTCCCATCTCCCTGCTCCCTCTTCCTCCTGGGAGAACCCCCCTTAACTTCTGTTTCCAATAGGAAGACAGCAGGAAGCAGGGTCACTGGGGACAGGAACAGGGCAGAAGGTGTGTCTAGGCGGGGAGTGAGAAGGAGGCCCCAGAACCCAGCACCTTCCAGCAGGACAGCAGGGGAGGGCCAGCCTGGCCACCCACACCCAGGTGGCTCCAACAGAAGTGTCCTTCTCACCTATTCTGAGCAAAGTATGGATGTGAAATATCTTCATCTGCCCCTCAGACTGGGGCTCCCTGAGGGGGGGGGGCACATGTCCCTCAAACTGGGACTCCTTGAGCACAGGGCTGTACCCCCTCAGACTGGGGCGTCCCTGAGGACAGGCTGCATCCCCTCAGACTGGAGCTCCCTTGGGACACAGCCCTGTCTCTCCCAGACGAGGGGTCCCTGAGGAAGAGGCTACATGTCTCTCAGACCGGGGCTCTCTAAAGACAGGCTGTCTCCTCAGACTGGGGTTCCCTGAGGGCAGGCTATGTCTCCCCCTCGGTTGTGGGGCTCCCTGACGATAGGGGTGTCCTGCTCTTTCCCTGAGCCTGCTCAGGATCTCCAGAAGCCTGCCAGCCCCTACCCCACCCCTGCCTACATATACTCATCACCAACTATGGAGAGTTTGGCCTTTTCCACAGCTTCATGGGAGGCCCTGGGTGTGCCAGGTTTTAAGTAGTGGTGGGCGAAGGGGACATAGAGCATATAAAGATGGCCCTAAGAGCCCTGACTGCAGAGGGTCCAAGGGCTGCTTGGGGTGGGGGTCAAATGCTTTGCAGGACAAGTGACATGACCAAGAATGCTAGAAGTGCCTGGCATGGTTGTCAGGTGGTTCTAAATACTGGAGGTGGGGGTACACTGAAGGGAGGGTGGGGTGGCTGTTAGCAATGAGGGTGGCATGTCAGCAGGGCATGGCGGGGACAAAGCACAGAGGGAGGAACATGGGTGCTCTGGTGAGCTGGGAAGGCTGTGGGTTAGTGCTCAGCCGGGGCGGGGAGAGAATGGAGGGACAGGTGCAAGGCTCTGCCCTGGGACAAGAGCAGGTAAGTGAGGCTGGGGCCAATAAGTGCCACAGGCCGAGGTGCCCAGGTGACACAGTGGAGGGGGAACCGTCCTAGCTTTGGGCTCAGATGTGGGCCTGATCCTGGCTCTCCCTCCCATAAATTCGGTCTGTGACCTTGTGCAAGTTTAACTTCTGGCTTCAGCTTCCACATGTGCCAAGTGGGATGGTAAGAACCGCCGCCCCACAGGATCCCCGTGAGGACCCAGTCAATGCTTGGAGTGGCCCCTGCGCGTGGAGGAGGCTCAGTCAACGGCATGTCCTCAGGATTCTGCTGTTCGGGGGAAACCGCCAAGTGGAACAGGCAGGTCTGGCTTCCTGGGCTTGGGGGCCTCATTCATCCTTTCCTTCTAGAATCAGCAAACTCCCAGAAAGATGAAACTAACAGATTTTCATGCCCAAAGACCAGTTATTCTGCTTAATTAGTGACAGCTTCCAGCAGCAAACGTGGCCAATGGTTAAGTGAAGCGGGGAAGGCTTGGGGCTCCCTGCCCTGTCGGGGACGGGGTAGGTCCTGCCCATATCTTCCCCCTACTTCCTCCTCCTGCCACCTGAGTCCCTGCTCCAAGTCTGCTGAGATGTCTGGAGGGTGAGGAGGACACAGTGGCAGGTGTCCCTGTCCCTCGTAGCTCTGGCACAAGAACAGGGCAGCAGTGGGGACCTAAGGGGACAGAGTAAGGGCAGGTGGGCAGATTTTAGAATCAGGACTTCCAGGTTGCTTGGAATCCCTCTGAGGGGATGACAGGGCTGGAGGTGACAATAAGGAGGGGCATCCCCTCAGGTTCAGGAGTTTGGGGAGGAAGCAGGAGACAGGAAAGGGAATGTCAGAGGGAGTGGTGTGGCCTGTGGGAATGAGCACAGGAAGTGTCACAAGTCCTTGGTTTATATCCTAGCTCTGTCCATTAACCTATGGCGCATTTTATCTTTTGGGGCCTCCACTTCCTCACCTGGACAGTGGCATTTGCTCCTGTTCAGAGTGACTGCATACAGATAGATGGAAACCTTCGGGAGGTGTCGAGCCTAGAGCCAGCGGGCAGCATTTGCAGGAAGAAGGGCAGAAGGAAGGACATGGGAGGGGTGGGACCCTCGGGTGACAGGCTTCCCAAGGCCTGGGACTGTCCCCCTCTCTAAATCTGGCTGCAATGGGAAAGGGCCTCCTACTTCTGTGTGTGAATATGTGAACCAGGTTCTTTCCCTTTCTGGAAACTTTCTGAGTTGAAGAAAAGGAGAGACAGAACACAGCCTCTCTGGGCCACTGGGTGGGCCATAGGAGGGAGGGAGGGCCTCTCAGAAGGAGCAGCGAGGGCTCCAGACAAATATCTGGAAGGCTCCGAGTAGACCCTTTGGTCTCCCTGGCCTCTCCCTCAGGACCCTGTCCTTCCTACCTGCCACCTCCCAGAGCCCCAAGTCATGCCTTCCATCGTGGCCCTGCAGGGCGAGGCTGCCAGAGCCCTCTCTCTTTGTCCCCCCTCCCATTTTTTTTCTTTAAGGAATTTCGATGTCTGAACAGCAGGTCAGGGAGACGTGAACAGCACACACCTTCTCACAAGCTCAGGAACCCTGGCACGGATAAATGGTCACATGCATTATCACACACACCCTCAAGGACATGCCTAATGCTGAGACCGTGAAATGGGGTCATTCCCTCCACACATACAATCACACACAGACTGCCAGGCATACTCACATGCTGAGACACTGCCCCCAACACACACTTTCACCCAGACACACACACAAAATCCATGCCTCTGGACTCATACACTTGACTCACACTGTCGCAAACATAGACACTGCCACATGTACACACTCCCCCCCTTCTCTCTCTCTCTCTCTCTCTCTCACACACACACACACACACACACACACACGAACACATACCAGCAGGATGTCACACATATACTTTCCAAGATGTCACACATACTCAGAGACCCTCCCACAGACAAAGTATCAAATAAGGGTCACCAAGACACATGTTGGGCACCCAGTTACATGCTAAGATGTTGCTACACACACAGTGACTCCTGTCCAGGCAGATGGTCACACACAGGGTCATGTACAGATGCCCAGGGAAATGGGGTTCATCCGCCTGCCCCCTCCTCCCCCATCTGTCTCTCTGTAGCCACCTCTATCCCACACCCCTCTCTGTGTCTCACACATGTAGGTGCAGATGCACACGCAGGAATTGGCCCTGCAGGCTACAGGGAAGGAGGGGCCCACTTTTCCTTAGAGGAAGGCACTGGAGGCAGGAGGTGGTTTCTGACCCCTCACTGTGTCTATATCCAGGAGGAAGCCTCGCTCAAGGCAAAGTCCACAATGACCAAGGCACAGCTCTGGACCCTGTCTGCCTTTTATGAGAGTGCAGAGCCCCCTCTCTAGGTCCTGTTCTTAGCTCTGGGAACACTTCCAGGTTCCAGAAGACAAACAGACCAATACTCTCAGGTGACTAAAGCAGCCATTTCAGGGTGCTAATCCTCTCACTGACCTTATGTGATAGATCTTCTCATTCTTACTTACAGATGAGGACACTGAGGTTTACGATGGTCCAGTATCCTACTCAAGACCAGTATCCTACCCCACCAGCTAGTAGTAGACCTCATATTTGAACCTAGTTCTGTCTGGTTTTAATTTGGGTGTTAAAGGCACTCCTGTCTTCTCAGAGACCAGTCTTCTGCCGAAAGTCTTGGGGAGGTAAGGAACAGGGGAGGGGAGTGGTCCTTCCCAGCAATAGTGAAGGAGTGACCTAGGTCACCTTTATCAGAAGTGGACTCAGCCATCCCCTATCTATAGGCAAGTGGCCTCCAGCCTCAGCAGACATGACAGTGGCTCACTTAATTCTCCCCACAGTCCTGCCCCTAGGAGGAGGGGACCAGGCCCCACCCCCTTTTCCTTCTGTGCTTCTAAACTGCAGGACCACCTTATATAGGGACCCTCTTTTTCTGAGTTTTTGTCCCTCCATCAGTGATGTAAGGGAGTAACTCTAGTCTTACTGACCTCCTAGACAGAAAACAAAATGCAAAGTTCGCTTTTTAAGAGTCTTATATGCGTGTATGAGGTTTTGTCACAATTACTGCAGTCTAACCTCAAAGCCGCCTGTCAGTCACATCTCTGTTGCCCACAAGGAGAGCATCCCCCAAAGCTCCACCCTCTCTGCTCAGTGCCTGGTGACTCCTGTCCGTCTCTGCTACCCCAGTCCTGTTATGGTCCAGGGCTGAGGAGTGAGGGGGAATCAGAGGAAAGGGCAGGTTCAGGGAGCCTGTTACCTCTGCAAAAAGGGGCTGGGAAGAAGACACACAGTCCATAGAAGTTTTCTTTCTTTTTTTCATCCAAACCAGATCTGCAAACTTGGCCTGCAGCAGGATGGGACCAGGATGCACAGCCTCCCACCCCATCCCTTCCCAGCCCATAAGATGAGCGAGAACAGGTAGTGAGTCTGCAGTCCTGGCATGGAAAGATCCTGACTTCACCAGGAAAACCATAGCCTGACTGGGAAGTCCTGAGGAAAGCACCATGGAAAGAGAGAGGGATTCTTCTGGGACCAGGGGTAGTAACTGGCTCTTGGAAATAGGGAGAGGGAGAAAATGAGTCTGGAAAAGGATTTAGGAGCTGAAAAGGTGCTGGCACCCTAGCTTAGAGGCATATCTGTCCACATCTGGATTCTGAGTCAGCAGTGGCGTCTGCTCTCACTAAGGCAGCCTTTCTCCTATTCTGGGACAAATTTCAAGACCAATACAGGTCCACCCCAAAGATCTCAGTTCTTTAGGTCTGGGGTTAAGAGCCACCCAAGCCTGCTCAAGCATGTCCCAGCATCTTTGGACAGCCATCCTCTCCAAAGGCAGTTAATACCTCCTCTGGCTGGGGTCTGGGGCAGGGAGGGCAGAGAGGGCAAGGAGAGCCAGAGAGGGGGCTACAAGGGTCCACCTGTGTCCTGCTCTCCTGTAACAGCAATGAGGCCAGGGTGTTTCTGCGCGGCCCAGTATGCAATCTGGCATGGGCTGTCAATCAGGGGGATCAGAACGGGTGTCAGCAGAGTATGTGTGCTGGGGGGCGCTGAGTGTTTCTGGAGGACCACTGAGGCTTCTGTTTGCTGCAGGGGCTAAGGGAGGAGGTGGCACTCAAGTCCCATCTGGGAGGTCACCTGGAAGGACGAGTTACCACCACAGGGTCCCTGGGGCTATGAGTCAAAGGCTGTCCTGTGGGTCTGATGCCAGAGTGAACAAGCTGGGTCTCCATACCTGGCCTTCTCAGCCCTCTCGGAGCCCTCTCACTGTTTTTAACCGGAGGACGAGGACGCAAGTATAGGGGGACGCACCGCAGGCCAGGGGTCCAGTGTATGGGGGTGGGGGTGATCAGCAGTGAGAACTGGGCTGTGACAGAGCCGCGGGCATGGGCTGAGGAGGAGAAGGAGTTCAGAAAGTGGTTTGGGAAGGACAAGGATGCGGCGCAGTAGTCAGCGCAGGGCGGCCGGGACAGCTGGTGCCCTGGCAGAGGGGCCCTGGCGGCGAGGAAGTGGGCGCCTCACCGGCGTGGGGGGATTGTTCCCTGTCCAGGCTCCACCTGGGCCACACAACTCTCCAGTCCCTAGTCCCCCCGGGAGCCTTTCGGTTCCTCGTCTGCAGTGAGGGAGTTTCGCTCAAGTCCGGGGGCTCCTGCGGGGTCCCCGCGTCCTCAGGCCCGTCCCCCTCCCCCCGGGGTCCCCGGGGCTCACCTGGGGGCGGGGGCCAGCCCTGCCCACCGCCCCGAGCAGCAGGAGCGCCAGGCGCAGCGGGCTGGGGGCGCCGGCCATGGCGGGGCGCTCAGGACTGGGCCATCGCTGCCACCTGCGGAACCGCGCGCCGCGACTGAGCCGGGCGGGCGCCGGGGGAGGAGCCGGCGCGGGGCCGCCCCGCCCGCGGGAGGGGTCGGGCGGGGTCCGCGGGCTTCCGTCCGCGCTGCCCAGGCCCTGATCACCCGGCGGCCCGCAGCCCGGTCCGCAAGTCCCCGGCGCTGCGCTCCCGGAGAGCGCCCTCGGGTTTAGGCAGCGCAGGAGCCCGGCCGCCAGCTCTGAGCGCCCGCGGTGCGCTTGGCCGGCTTTCAGCGACAAGAGCGGCCCGCCCCCCACCCTGGCACCCCAGCACCCCCAGGCTCCCCGGCTAAGGAGAGCCACCGCCTGCCACAACGTATTGAGGGGACCCGAAGGAAAGCAGGGTCGGGAAGCGGATGGGACTAGTCCAAGGTCACACCGCCTGGCAAATTTCTTCTAGAAAGTATATCCCCAGTGCGGCGGTGCCTAGGAAGAAAGATCGGTGCGGAGCGACCATCTCTTCCCCAAGTTCTCCCCTCATTCCCGGCTCTGTTTTCCAGGCAGGCCCAGGACAGCCAAGGTTGGGGAGCTGGGGTGCGGATTCACTTGAGCCCCCAAGCTTCGCCACTTTTCCCTGCAGCCCCAGTGCCTGCCCTTATAACCCCGGTGTAGGTGTGGTAATGTGGGATCGTGACTCTTCCCTGTCTCCCTGTTTTGTGGGGACTCTGCATTTCACCTGCATTTGTTTCTACCTCTGCCCTTAAACAGTACAGGGCAGCAGAGCTGGCACAGCGTCGATTCCCTCCTGTGCGTGCTCAGAGCGACTGGCTTATCTTCCCAAACACTCTTGAGAAATGGAGATGGAAAAGGAGGATCCCCTCATCTAAGAACATTGATGCCACTGTTGGGAACCACGGGTGTGGCAGCACCCAGCCCTGAATCTGCCATGGGGCACGTCTGCACCATTCCACAGAGAAAGGGAATTTGTGAGGATAGTTGTACTTTCGTCTACCCAGAAGTCAGTCTAACAGGTACCTTTTGGGTATTACTTAGAATTAAATTGTTCAGCTCCAAGGGAAGGACAACACCATCCCAAATAACAATGGTGTTAAAAAAAAAAGGACTTTTACGAAAAAAACGACTAGAGGTTGAGCCCAGGTTGGGAGTGGCTGCTCTCTCATCATCAGGGTTGCCAGATCTTCTAGCTTCCACTTTCTCTGGTTCAAATCTTCTACCTAATGAGCTTCAGATCTAACCCTGGTACCCAAATTTCAGCCAGCAGGAAAGAGGAAAGGGAAAGAGATGGGTATCCTCTACCCATAAAGAGATACCCTGGAAGAAGCAGTCATCAATTCCAAGTCTGTTGGTCAGAACTTAGTCACATGGGCTCTCACGTGCGGGGGAGGCTGGGAAGTATCCTTTATTCCAGGTGGTCATGGGCACAGTTAAATATTGGGCCTTGTATTACTTTGTTGGCTTTCTGTTGCTAATATCACAGTAGCACCGACTGGATATATTTTAAGGAAAAGAGTTTTATTTTGGCTCATAATTCTGATCCAAGGTTGAGGGCCTGCATCTGGTGATGACCGTCTTGCTGGCGGAGTCCTGGTGTCTCAGATCATTACATGGCAAGAGATAGGGAGTTCTCAGTATACCTAGCCAAGACGGTTTTAATAGCAGACTCACTGCAGAGAGTCCATTAACCCATTAACCCACTAATCCAGTAATTATATGAATGGCTTAATCTGTTTATGAGGGCAAAGCCTTTATCACCTATTAAAGGTCCCACCTGGTCCCACCTCTTAATATCTCATAGTGGGAATTTAATTTCAACATGAGTTTTAGAGGGGACAAACCATATTTCAACCATAGCTCTCTATAGGAAGACCAGAAAAGAAAAAAAGGGCAATAATTTGTAAAATCTGCTACATCCGGATAGAGAGGGAGAAGAAGAGAGAGGAAGAAAAGAGAGTATTCAGAAGGAAATAGGCCCTTTCCTATATAATTATATAAATTTATCAACCTCCTAATTACATTTATTCAGCAAGTATCTATTGAACACCTGCCATGTGTACACTGAGCTAGGTCCTGGGGATACAGAGGCAATGCCATCCTTGCCTTCGGAGAGATTATGTTCTAATTCAGAAGGGAGACAATAAATGGGTAATTACAGCATTGAGTCATTTAGATTACAACTGTGATAAGCATTGTTGCGATAAGCACTTAAAAGGTCACTTTCTCTCTACCAGGGGCTTTCTCTGAGTGGGAGGAACTTTTTTGTGTGTCCTGCCAGGGCAGGGCAAGCACCTCTAGGAGCATCTATCAGCTACGGATGGACAGAAGTGGAAGGACAAATACCCTAGCTCCTGGCCTCTTGGACAGACAGCTCAGAGACACTGCTGTCTCCCAGATGTCGCTAGGTTCCTGTGGTGCTCTCCTGCTTGGAACCCCTGGTATTGCCTTCCTTCCTTGTCTGTCTCACTGTCCATCAGCAGGGGGCTAGAGCATCCTGGGGTCACCCCCCAAATAAAAGCTTCTGGGAGTGCCCAGCTGAAGACAGAGGCTGTGTGAGGGCATCTAGGACAGAGAGGCTGGTCTCTCCTTTTAACATCTGGGTCTAAGAGCCTCTGAGTTTGCCCGGATGCTGCTTCTCTCTCAGCATGTACCATCCTGGAAACTACCTGGCTCCTTTTCCCTCGACCACAGCTCTGGAGGGGGGAGGGGCAGGATGGCATATTTCAGCACAGCACAGGTTTTTCCCTAATAATAATAATAATAACAACTTCCTGGTGGCCCTGTCTCTGGAGATGATAAATGATAGCAGGTGCCCTGCCCTGTTGCATCCATGGCTATACCCTGTGGCTGTTGGAAAGTTGTGCACTGGACATTTGGGAGGATTTCTCTCCCCAGCTTGTAAGGGAAGTGGGAGTAGGTTCAAAGTCAGATTTATTTATTTATTTATTTATTTTATAACAATGTCACTGCTCTCCATCCCTCCTCACCCATTCTCCTAGCAGATTAGCTTTCTCAAACTATTATCTGACCTTCTCCCTAAAACCATCATCCATTGGCCCCATTTCCTAGGATCAAGTCTTCCAAACCCATTAGCATCTAAGAAGCCTGTCTGGATCTGCCCCAGCTCATCTCTCCTACCTCTCCTGTCTGGGCTCCTACTCATGCTTCAAGACCCAGTTCCGATGGCCCACTCTCCAGACTTTTCTTCACTCTTGCCCCTCAACAACCTGTCAGCAGCAAGAGCTCTGGAAGTCTTCCTTAAACATGGCTCTCCTCCAGGATTCCCCAATATCTGCCCACACTCAGAACCTCAGTGGAAGGGTGACCCCACTTAGAAGCTTTCCATGACACCTCCCCCTCCCCATTTCTCATAAGCCCAGCTCCTTGAATAACTACCATGAGGACACTACAGAATTATGAAATGATGGGAGCGTTATGAAGTGCTCACGATGCTGGTTAACCTGTTTCCCTGTGGACTGAGACCCTTGAGAGCAGGGCCTCATCTCTACCCACAGCACCCAGCGAGGTGCTTGGAACATAGTAGGTGCTCTTTGATTCTTGTTTCAAATAAATGGAATGGGTTGAAGCCCTTTCCACGTTCTGTCCCGTCCTCATCAGGCTGGCCTTCTTGGGGGAAGGGACACTTTCTTGTTCATCTCTGGATATCCTGTATCAGCATCAGCCCTGGCACGTGGCAGGTGATCAATCAATGTTAGTTGCAATTGAAACGTGTCAATACAAGTGTCTGATGAGTTCCCAGCACACCAGAGGTGCTCAAAAATGTATGGGAGGAAAAAACAAATGTATGGGAGAGGCCTGGGCTGGGAAAGAGGGCAGAGCATGCCCTGGACTGTTCTTTCCCCACAGTGTTTTCAAGGTGCTCAGGTCCCCTAGAGCAGAGGAAAGCATGTCCCCCACCAAGAACAGATTTGTATGGCATTCATTTGCTAAACTATATCAACGATAACAATAATGCTACAAATGAGAACAAAAGCCACTGCTTCTGGAGCCCCCAGGTGTGGCTGAGTGCTTGGTGGGCGGGCCCTCACCACTACCAAGGGCCAGGGTTGTTAGGCCCATTTCATGATGAGAGGACTGAGGCTCAGGGATGAACAATGAGCAGACCTGGCATTTGTCCAGGTTCACCAGTCCCCAGAGCTGGTATAGATGGAAGCTCATTGGGAGCAGCTGGATCTTTGGCAGCCCAGAGGTTTGGGGCTTCCCCTCTGCCGTCCTGTCTCAGGAGCTCCTCTTCAGTGGCTCCTTCCTGTACAGCCCAGAGCTCTAGGTCCTGCCTCTTACCCTCATACCCAAGGCTTCTCCAGGCGCCCCAGGTGGGGTCCCCCCAGCTCCATCTGGTTTTCAGATGGCCTTCAGAAATAGGAACAGGAGCAACTGATGTGCACCCCTCAGGAGAGGGTGCTCTAGGCTGTATCTCTGGGGAGACAGGCCTGAGAACAGGCTGTCCACCCTCTCTGGCCTCAGCAGCAAGACCAGGGCAAGAGCAGGGCAGATCTTTTGCTTGGGAGGAGGCAGGAGAAACAGAGGAGATAAGAGAGAGGGCAGAGGAGAGGAGAGGAGAAGGATTTGCCCGAAAAAACAGGTGTCTCTTGCCCACGTAGTTCAGGCTTCTTCCCAAGCTCCATTTACTTCCCCAGATTTAACATCACATCCCTCTTCTGAATGAGAAGATAAGGAAAGAGTCATCTTGTAGCCTAGTGTCAACACATGTTTACAAACAGACCTACACACGGATCTTAGAGTCTGGGGTCTCGGGTTCAAGTTCAGTTCAGTTCCTTACTGTTCCGCGTTAACATTTGCTAAGCCTGTCTCACACTCCATACGATGGGAAGATGAACAAGGGCTAACATCTACCCAGCATTGCCTCATGCCAGACACTGTCCAAGGAGCTTTGCAAGACTTCCTAGAAACTTCCTGTACAAAGTGTGTGCATTTCTTGTCAGTGGGTTTGCTTTCAGGTTGAATTCACTGAATTTTCTTGTGTAAAGACATCACATGGGGGTCACCCCTGGATATTCTGGCAGAGAT